CAGGAAATTTGAGTTTATAGGATTGCACCTTTAACCTTTAGCCTGTGTGGATATACTATGTGTATATATATATATCCCCCCCCCTCCCTAACACTTTATCGTGTTTTGTTGCCACTGAAGATCAAAAGAATAAAGTCATCCATTGCCACTGACGACTGGCTAGGTGTTAAGAGGGTTGTTACTGTGATGAAGGTGATACATAGTGAAGGAGACGGTTAAGACTGTTGGAGGTGAGGGAGCGGGCGGGGGCAACCTCGGGGTTTAGGGGACTTGGGGGTGGCCGCCAGCTGGCCACACGCCACATGTTTGGGGTGTATACACACACCTTGACAACCATAAAAAAAGCTCATTGTCACAGCATATATTATTAGAGAGGCTATTTTAATGAATTCTCGGTATCGGTATCATCAAAGTTATGTATTTATGCTCACGTGATGTACTTTAGAAATTCGCATTGTACAGGTTTACAGACAATATATGTTTAATGCTTCTATTGATATTGTTTTAAGCAGTAACAAAGAAAGTGACGTCTTGGTTGTCTATTGAAACTGAATAAAAATCGCCAGTTTGATAAGCGAGAAACGACTATTGCTGCACAATGGCCAATTACGTATGATAATTGACTGTTTGTACAATTTGGGGGCTAACAACTCTTTATTATGTAACTTACTAAATGAATTTATCCATGCAATTACACCATTCCATATGATATTCTACAATACAATGCAAATCCTTACCAAAATGTGGTTTTTACAGAAATTTTGATTAAAAGACGAGTTGACATCGTTCGTTTGGCAACACTGTAAACAAGGTGAAGATCCCCCTCCAGTTAGGGTTGGTTGTCGTACCGTGGACTGGGTATAGCAGTGTTCAGGTGAAGACCAGCCGGGCCAGTCTGAATTTTGTGGGTGTTGGTGATGCGCATTCTTTAAGTAAGAGTAAATAATTTTTTATATGTTCATGGCAACTATTGAAATTATATTTTTAGCAATTGGAAAATGTGTTTAAATGGAATAGTGAAAACGGTGAGTGAAGTCGTGGAGTAACGAGAAGATTAAACCGTCACCCTCACAAGGTATCTGGCGACCTATTGCCATGCTTTCCATTCTAGTAACGGTGTGGGGGAAAACGAGTTTATCTTGATTTTGTCTTATAAACATTATAGTCTATTTAGAGGTGAATATTTTTTTTAAATTCATTACTTAACGGCGTTTGTCACCCTAAGTTGCAATAACATTGAGAAATCATCGTGAAAATGGAATTTAATAATTACTGGTCCTGTTTGTTAAGCAGTTATGTACTAGTTAATGGGATATTTGAAAAATTCAAATTTTAATACTTTGAATATCCTTTCATACCAAGGTAAGGCAAGTGGGTAGGTAGGTTATAGGGGACATTTTCTTCTGTGGGTTAGACTGTTGCATACCGCAGGAAGTTAGTGTAATAATTTAGTTATTTTCAGAAACCCGAAGAAAATTTTATGGTGAGTATATCATAGTGGCAGGTGTATGGTCGCCAGGCAGGGGAGACCGGTGGAGCTGGAACCCATCTTTGTCAGCTCGTGTGGCGGTAAATTTTTTTCCGCGGGTGGTGCAAACGTGTACTGGTGAGCTGCAAGTCCCACTACCGGACGGTCCGACTAATTACCCAAATGTAGCCGCAATGAAGTCAAATGATGGTCGTACAAGCGTAAATCGGGCTGTGAATCACTTCTCGATTATTATTTGGTATCCTAGTCACAAAAAATTGGTAAAATTAATTTAATGAGTTGTGTTGTTAGGTTAGGTTAGGTACATGCACTCGATCTATTAACTCAAATTAAATTACGTTTTCCATTTTTTTTTTACTTTGACACCAATTACTAGTCGAGAAGTGATTGGTAACCCGATTTATTCATGTAGGACCATTATTTGACTTCATTGCGGCAACATTTGGGTAATTAGTCGGACCCCTACCGGATTTGTTCTCGCTTCATCCCTTTCAAATACTGTACTTTGTTAGATAATGGGTGGCAGTGATGCATGTAAACGTGCCAAAAAGTGCTTGTCATTCTTCCTGTATTTATTCTCCGTGAAAGATACAGCTGGTAATATATTACTGAATGGCGAATTAAGTATTAAACTTCTAATAAACAGCTTTGATACTTGTCTGGCGGTATTGTCATGGGATTTTACCAAAATGTAGGTTCTTACAGTACAGTTTTCATAGTTAATTCATAATATTTACCAATTTAGAGCAAGTAGGTTTACCTTCATTCAGTTTTTATACAAAGCTATTTCATTTGTCAAAAACTAGTGTTAACAGTAATCCACAGCAGAAGATTTGTCTAAGGCAACAGGCGTTTGGGACCGTCGGTCGTGTCGGGTTGGGTTTTGTATGACCTTGTACAGTATTGTCTTATTAACGTTCCTGAGGTGGGTCTTCGCTTTCCCCAAGCTTGTCTTTTGGAGTGTATATTTAGTTAGTGTATGCGTGCAGAAGGTTGGTCAGGTATGCAAGCCTATTGAAGATGTCTGGTGCAACAACTGTTTGGTTATTGAGCCTCTGGCAGAGCTTCCTAAACTGTGCATTAAGTTAGATATTTGGAAAATAATTAATGAAAAACAGGTGTCAATTGTCAACATCATAGCCGTCACTTGAGCGATATACTGATAATACAGTATTATATACAGCACAGTCACTGATGCCAAAATCTGTTAAATAGATTATCGTGGTAAATTTGCGACAAGAAAAAAATTAAAGTTTTTAGTGTCTTAATGAGTGATGTGAAAGTTTGGAGAGGGGATTATGGGGCAGGCATGTTCGTGCTTGCTTGGAACCTGGCACCAGGCACAGAAAAGTTGGGGCATGGCAACATATGAGGAGCGGTGAGAACTTCATAGATTTACTGCCCAGGCTGTGTTAACGGCATAATATCCTACCAGGGGTTACTGGTGTATTCTTCCTTCCTGCATTCAGTACAGGTGCTGTGTAACATAACATGCCTCATTAGCACATATTGCTTCTGCTAAGTTCGGAAGTGTTCTTAGGCACCAGAGATGTTAATCCCAGTTAGTGGATACTGCCCTTACCTGATGGTTCCCATTAGCAGATATTGAACAAATAATGTATTAATACATTGGAACCTGTCAGACCACGTGGAAAAACTGAATACAGAAAGACCTATCTATTTTGTACAGTATACACTAGATTTTACCCAATATGGTTCCCCATATATAGCTCATCTGCTATTCAGTGTGTAATGCACATCACTATACTGTATTTTGATGTACAGTATACCGGGTATATTGGTAATATTGTAATGATCCCAGTAATCATACATCCAGGGCTAGTGAAGTTTATCATAATTATGGTAGTTCATTAATCTGGCATTTGACATCTCATTTTGAGTTTCAGTACTGGTAACAATGACCACTGGTCTCCATTATGAAAATAATAATCGGTGTACCAGCAATAACTACACATCGACATAAACTTTCTTCGCTAGATTGTTGTGTACAGTAGGCTGTCCTGTAGTCATAATCCAAAGTGTCTTTACCCCTTCACTGGAAGGAAGGTGAAGCCAAGGTTGAAGAAAGGCCAGGCGAATGGACATACACTGTTTTGTGCTGTCTTTAAGTCATAATAATAAATATATTCCTACCAACATTCCATACCCTGTAAAAAAAAGTTTCATAACTGTTCACGTGTTTTACCCTAGTGAGTGTTTGAGGTGCTGGTATGTGAGCCCCCACTGTCCTCATGCCTCGCCAAACTACTGACTGAGTGTTATTTCCATTCGCCTGGTTCTTTTACCTTGGCTTGAACCTACTTTGTGAATCTAAATTTTGTTTATAGACGAATACCTTGCCTTTTACATTAGCATATTTAGGTGAATGGCTCTTAAAATTAAACCGCTCTGGTAATTATATAGTACACTATTTTTAGGTATATATACTTTTGTAGAAACCATCCCATCAATTTTAATTCCAGCTATTGGGCCAGGATTATTTTTCTGTAGGTTAAAGGAGTGTGGGTGCTTAGTTTCTATAGCATGAGTTTGATCTACAACCCACTCATGCGGCAGAATTAAAATCTTTGGTGTTATATGGTACAGTATGTAAAAATTCAGAATAACTGAATGCTGTACATGCAGGTATTGTGTAGTACAGTACTTGTATTCTGTATACAGTACTGTAGATACAAATAAACAAAAGGGGAGTGTTTCATAAAACAAAATATTGTACCAGTAACTACTTTTCCCCATCTAGTTATTATATATCTTATTTGTATCACTTATGTTATTTGTATATTTGTAAATTGAAACCCATTACCGTTAATTATTATTATTATTATTATTATTATTATTATTAAGTACTTAGTACAGTTAAAGTGCAAATTATACCAATTCTGTATACAGGGAGTCCCCGGGTTATGAACGGGTTCCGTTCCTGAGGACTTTCTTAAGTCGGAAATGTAAGCAAGTTAACTCATGCTATGTGCATGGCATATTTGCAGAGCAACGTTTAAAATTCCATTATCATAGCCTAATTGATTATGTAATGTACATTTAAAATCACTTAATTTAATAGAAAATAAGAAATTGAATGAAAAAAGTCAATGGAAGTAAAAAATAAATTACTGTAAATTTAATGTTTAACCTTGTTCATTTCGGTGGGCATTCGTTAGTCGGGGACCCCATGTACTGTATATTTTAGTCCATTTTTCACTATCTGTTAAAAGTTTCTTGTAAACCTTCCACCAGTTTGTTTTTAACTACCTAAAGTTCTGAAAATGCTGTATATACATTGATTGTAGATAGGTTTTTAGTTTTCATATGTTGAAAAAGAACTGCATTATCTTATTGCCACAGTTATCCACCAGGTTTTAAGTTTTGATGTTGGTTGTTTCTGAAAGAGGTGAACCTCAAAAATAAGGATTGTGCTTTTTCTAAGTGCTCAACCCATGTAATTAATATACTACTGCTTATTCCATGTAACTAAATTTTATCATCATTTCAGTTGATGCAGCATTGGCCGAACTTGACAGCATTCCAGACGGAGTTTGTGAATCAGGAGAGGTAGAGGAGGAGGAAGAAGAAGAAGAGGAGTGGTCTTATTATCGTATGGAACCACAGACTCAGCCACAGGTATGGTACAAATAAGTGAATAACAATTAAGGTGTTATACTATAGTAGAGCCAGCAGTGGAAATTGTTGCATGTTTAGATCATTGGCAGATCTGGGAGTGGGGGGGATTCCAGATTCCCCCTTTTCATGAGTATTGTACTCAGGCATTTTTGTATACCCGGTAGTAAAAAATAATTACTATTGATCTCAGAATATCTCCTAATATCAAGTGCTCAATGGCTTCAAAATGCCTATGATAATTGGCCAGATTTAAACAAAAAATCTAATGGATTTGCTGTGCTCGCCATGCTCCCCCACCCGCAACTTCTTGGACTTAAGCCTTAGTGCATGTCAAGATGTACTGTTCTTTTGTACAATAACAGGCCCAGTATTGGAAATTGTTGCATGCGTCTCAAGATGCATTTTAAATGTAATTTTTTTTTAAAGTGTGCAGTTGCAGAAATGTTCCTACACCCCCTGCGGTAACCCATGTCTCCAAATGGCCAACCTGTATGACCTAGTTCTACAGTAACGATCCTATTCACCGATCACGTCCGTCGTTACACGACCAATACTTGTTAATTTATAAATAGTGGTACTACTACTGCGACATTGCCATTTGGAGATACAGGTTACCACGGGGTGTAGGAACAAATTTCTGCAACTGTACAGTAAATTCTAGTTTTTCTTTCAGAAAGTAAAATGTGGTATAAGAAATGGTATACAGTGTACTGTTCTGTATTTTCAAGTAAGTTATTTTAATGAAGTATGTGGAGAAAGGCTAATACTGTACAGCAGTACACTGTTTGCAAGCCAATATCTTAATACGTGAGTAAATCTGTGAATGTGGAAATATTGGAGTGGGAAGTAACTAATTTTCATTTTGGATTCAGTGTCTTGTTTTTTCTAAAATATAAAACTGGTGAGTGCTGAGCAAGACTTCACAATAATAAGCTTGTTCATTGCATTGGTGATGAATTGATAATAATCATACTCGATTTCATTTGAGTTATCCGGTTCAATCGGGTACATTCCCAGCCAGTCCCCAAACACACATATATCACCGACAAAACAATTCCTACAATACTACTACCAGTACAAAATAATTAAACGCCACATATCATTGTCTCCTGTCCCCTTCGAATCTAAGGGGACTTGAGTGGAGATGTCACCGACTCCCACACAGCTAGTCTCTGGGGGAGTCGTGCTGCTTAACAATGTCAAGCTTCACCTCAGACACAGTTGTCTAGGATGCCTTGGCCTTCCCAGACATTTTCAAAGTTAAACTGCTCACTTCGTTTACAAAAACAGCAAAAGGACTTGTCACAAAAACCGCAAACGATGATAAGAAAACAATGATTATGGCCGACACTACTCGTATTTTTTAAATAACACACTTTAGAATCACAAAAACCCAAATTATAACCATAGTCACCATTACATACTTCAGTCTAAATGTTAGTGCTCTCTTTTCACTATACAGTATAAGGGAAAAAATGGATTAAGTACAAAGGAGCCATGTGATGGCGGTTTTACGACAAAGAACCATACACATCTGTAGTGCGTGGATTGACTGTGTGGCGGCGTGTGGGTAGGCTTACATATGGAGGTAGAAATGCATCATGCATAAGGTTAAATATTGTTTCCTTGACATAGACAAATATAATTTGCATTGCTGGAATCGTTGCAAGACTGCGATCGAGTATAATATTTTACAACCATTAATTTTCACGAGATAAAAAATTTCCAACCAATGGATAATGTTGGATATCATTAAAGCAAATTATTTTGATAGTATATAGCGAGATGGTCTTGATTTAGTGACCATCGTTAAGTGGAATATTGCTTCTCGGGATGTTGTATCTCGAGGTTTACCTGTATTGTACCGAATGTATTGAGTGAGCGAGCTTGGTGCTCTACTTGGGACATCTTGGATACCTTCAGGATCTGAATGCTGGTTATACTGAACCAGTGAATCTTTGTGGCCAATTATATTACAGTATTAATTTCTTTTAGTTCTCTTATATATATATATATATATATATATATATATATATATATATATATATATATATATATATATATATATATATATATATATATATATATATATATATATATATATATATATGCTGATAACCACAAGGAAAGAAGAAAACACGAAGTTCCCAAGCGCTTTCGTGTAATTCGCATCTTCAGGGGTGAGTACAGACTAGAGAGAGAAATACAAATCAAGGTGTATATATAGAGAGGAGGGTGAGACCAGGTCCACAATGGTCATTACCTAATACCTGACCATTGGACCTGGTCTCACCCTCCTCTGTATATATACACCTCTGAATGCGCACCTACAGTGATTTACTTGCATATATATATATATATAATGGTGTCTTGTTCAGGCAATTATTTACTGTTACGACTGTCCAGTGATTTGGTAATCTATGGCTTGTTTTCTATTACCAATGTTATGTTTGAATATTGAATTTATTACTGAGTTTTTCATTGTTTGAATTGTGTATGTTGTGTAGATTAAGCCTGATCAGTTCTTTGATCTCCTTAGCATCCGCATCGTTTTCAGTCAATTTCCACGCCAGCGTGGGAAGATCATTTTGTAGGTCTTCCTCACCCCCCTTGACACTGAGGTATTCCTTAGTATGGGAAGATGCTATATTGTGGAAAATTTCTCTTTTTCCTCTGAAGTGAACAATTCTGGGACTTTGCCATTTCTTTTTTGGCTGTGACTTTCACTTTGTGGAAACACCTACCAACTGTTATGGGTTTGTTTCCCAGAAGGGAGTACAGTACAGTATATCCCCTTCCTTATGGTCATATGTTTTGGTCATATGTTTTAGCATGGCTTTGCAATTTGCATACAGTGTAGTACTGCTGTTTTTTCCTGAATCCTGATACTTTCAAATACAGTAGAGAAGTCTAATTTTCCCTTCGAGCCTATTGGTCTTCCTTATCTTTAACCAACACTTGTGTTCAAGTTGTTAGGGCAGATGTTTATTGGGGGTCTTTAACAAGGCTGTGTGCATTCTCCTAACATTACCCTTTACTGTATACACCTATGGAATAAAAGTTCATGGTATATTGTCAGATTAGTAAATATTGCTCTAGAATATGGGCTTAAGAGTTAACATTGCAATAGTAACAATGGTAATTTATATGAAATTAAAAATAAATCCTCATTTACAAAGTTACGGTAGGCAACAGAACTTTAGCAGAAGGAATGTGTTTTATTTGGGGAAAAATTTTCATTTGTTAAGGTTAATGTGCCAAATAACTTAAAACAAGAATAAGTTGAGTAAAAATCACATGAATGTTTGAAAGGGGAGCATTAACTTCAGTTGAGAAAAGGTGACTGATAACACTGCCACAAAGTTTTGTTTTTAGTCTTATCCCCAATAAATACAGTACGTGTATATATATATATATATATATATATATATATATATATATATATATATATATATATATATATATATATATATATATATATATATATATATATATATATATATATATATATATATATATATATATATATATATATATATATATATATATATATAAGATAGATAGATAGATAGATAATGTTTTTCTTACTAAATCAGACCGATTCCAAAAAGTCTTTAAAAAAATTTCATCAGCATTTAATGTTATGCATGTGTTTATTGCATAACTTGAGTAATTTTTTATGGGTATATTTAATAGGTAAAGGAAAATGAATATATTAAGCAATGTATGCAGGTTATTCATACCCACTCACAATAACTACAAAAGAATAAGGATAGTTATTTTTAGATGGAAATTAATGCTTGGAACATGACTTATTTTATGACGCTAGGTCTCTCGGAAGAAATTAGCAGCAATTACTCATCCCAGAATTGTATTTGCCCGCGTACTTGCATTCCATCACCGAAAAGTCCTAGTGAAAATGCTTACCTTGCTATATTTGGGTGCTGTGAGCATATAAGCTCACAGCACCCAAATTGTCTTGGAAAAATTTGAAGTGAGCGTGCAACTTCCCATTGCTTTGTAGGTATCAAGTAGATTGCTAACTAATTCGTCGTAGCTTTTTTATTTATTCATGCCAAGAAATCCATTCGCTCTTTAAATGACTTCAAGCAGCGAGCTCAACAATGGATGGTTTTTGTACAGCTTCATCAGAAAACACTCCAGATTTTGAGGACCAATAAATATATCTTCACTTTTGAATCATTCATATGAGCAAAAAAAATTCAAATGCTGAAATGCTTCTCTTTTTATTGAGAGCTTTAACAAAGCTCTTTGTCAATTTAAGGTTTATGTGCAATGGTGGAAGAAGTACATTGTCTGGGTTCACCAATAGTTTATTCCAAACATTTTTTTCCCTAGGTTAGGTATACTCTGTAATTTACTTCTCTTAGTGACCTGTTTTTAACTTCATAGTGATCTTTTATAGTCCTACTGTCCCACAAGCACAGAAAAGCAGTATTTGATTAACCCACTTTGCATTTCCAAAAGCATTCCTATGACCTTTAGGTTCCCAAAAATTGTCCAGCTGTATACAATGGTCTCTCGGTTAACAAGCACAATTCGTTCCAGGAGGTTGCTCGTTAACCGAAACCATTGTTTCAATGGGTTTTTGGGTAATTGGTTCCAGCTCACCGAAAATTGCCTAAATTCAACAAAAAAGGTAGAAAAGTACACTTACTTTGAGGTGTGCCTGTAGAAGGCTCCTGGATGATGATGATGATGATGGGAATTAGACTGGGGGTGGAGGAGAAGGAAGAGGAGAAGGCATTAGGGTGGAAGAGAAGTCACCCCATGGCACCATTTCACCCATAAAATTTTAGTTCTCTTGGTGTATTTCAAGATTATTTTCTTTAAATCAACACTGCACTATATATTGTCAATATGTAAAATATATTTCAAAATGACCAATAATTTGCTTGGAAACACAGAATAAAAAGCGTTTAGTTGAAGAGAGTCTCACGCAAGATGTTCCCTCCACTGAAAACAGAGAGACTAACGCCTGTCTGGTGTGTTAACAGGCTGGATGGCATGCCAGAAACTAGTTTCTTTACCTTCAATTATATTCAATAATTGTTATAATGACTAAAAAAGTTAATATTAAACTTTTAAAATTATTGAACAGTATAAACTTCTTGATATTTACTAAAATAGTAAGGAATTTAAGCCCTAAAACCGATTACTGTATTGGCGGACTAATACTACAGCTGGTGGACTGCCAAATGCAAGCGAAAACATGTTGAAGTCGGCTCGTAAAAAACTCGTTAATCGAGGGATTGCTCGTTAACCGAAGATAAGAATCTTATGGAAGGTAAATCGTTAACCAAAATCTCGTTAACCGAGGCGCTCGTTAACCGAGGGACCACTGTACATTGTATTGTACTTGATGGCATTTAATATCAACTTCATATTATACTGTCCTTTAAGTGCCGCAGGAAGTGATGGCGTTGAGTTGTCATAAGGCAACCTGAAGTGATGAACTTTTTTAATAGCCTCTGAAATCAGCTCGTCTAAATTGTATAAAAACCTCATGTATGATGATAAGATATATTGATTAGTTTAATGGTCAGTCCTGTTGTATTGCAAGGAAAGTTGTTATTAGAGAGTATTAAAGATAAATGAAATTCAGTAGCAAGATTAGCTAGAGCAGTAAAAGTAGTTCTTAATTTTTTTTTTAGACTGGGAATGAAGAAAATTGCAAGTTTGGTCCTGATGTGCAAAATCTAGGTGGTTTGGTAAAAATAGCTACAATTTGTTTGTGGGGGGGGGGGAGAGGGGCTACTGTCTCCAATCTCAGGCATAAGGATAACACCTTAATTTAATTGAGGTCCTTGAAGTGGCTAAATTACTAAAGTTCATCTGAGCTTGTACTTCAGGTTAATGCCTGTTTCTGCCTGTTGTGAAGTCATGTGTGGTTAGCAACATGACTGCCTCATTATCATTCCTCTTTGTTTCCTGCATACAGGTATTATTGGGATGGTTTTGCAGGGCAGTTGCCGTGTGTGAGACATGTTATTTTCTTCTGGGAGTCCACAAATGTTCTCGAAAGTCCTTGGGAGTTGGTCCTTATTCAGGCTGGATGGTGTTATGTTTTTGTCAACTACTGGAGTCCTCCACTAGTATCACTAGTACTAACATTAGGCAGTCTTTTAGGGGCCATTTCACACAAACACTATAGTTTTGAGTATACCACAAGAGATGCTCTGTCGCATCAGTGGTTAAGCGCAAACAAGGGAGAGAGACGCTGCGGGAGTGTGGGGGCGACTCGTTGCGCTTTGGGAGAGGCTCATAAGCTAGTCATCATTTGCTTACCGCAAATAATCAAAATCACGAATCTCAAACCTGCGAGTTGCAAGGGTTTACTGTATTGTAATTTTTACTCTTTTGCTAATGGTTTTACTAGGGTAGGCTATAATATCCTGACTGATTTGTCCCATGGGAAGTACTTATTTACATGCTTATTGACATACTCAGAATTGAATTATACTTAGAGAAAGCAATTATTTATTAAAATTTATTAGTTTTTATTGCTAGAAACCTACTCTATATAAATATCAACACCATCTCTGAAACGTTTATCATTTCTAACCTAAAATATTATGACTGGTAATCTGGTAGCTGTGGGCCCATACCCTACTTTTCCCATAAGATATTGAATTCCCGATTTGCGATGATTTCCAAGAACATAACCTTCGCGAATACGGGGGGATAAGTTAATCTGTACACTTATATCTAGCATTTATTTTTGGTTTAATCACTATCTGAATCGAGGATGCGAGGTGGCAGATCGGGGGTTACCACCAATTCTGACTTGGTGTGGGGCAAGTGATGTCAGACCCACAGACCCTAGTCAGACTAATGGGAGTTTGACTTATTGGAAGTCCAACATGGGGATAGGGTCTTACTGTTCCGTACATAATTGTTTAAATCGTCCCAGTATCACTTCTTCATCTTTTCAGTGACCGTTCTTGTTGTGAATATTGCATATATAGTAGTTACAACTTTCATAGTGTCTTCCGAGCTAATTATTTAAAAACATCGATAATAACCATTTTTATTTAACATTATTCCCAAACCTCAAATTTGTTTATTCATACATTTGCATTTCTTAGCACAATAGGCTAGTTGTTCTTGTTCATAGTTCTTTTTCTTGACTGTTTGAAAGTGCATAACCAGATAACCTACATTACTTAAGTACTGTATGTGCTTCTATTCACAAGATTGTTTTTTCTTATTTGATATGTTGCTTTTCTTTCCATTGTCACATCTTATTCCCATATCTGTATGTTTTGCTTTGCTTAGATTACTATTTGCTGGTTTATTTCAGAGTGAAGACGTATTGGTACCTGGTGCACCTGCAGCTGCTACCTCTCTGGAGCAGAGTGAAATCACCCCTGAAGCAGTTGGTGTGGTGCAAGACTCCGATATTGTGTGTATACCAGAAGACCTTCACAAGGACCATATTGAACAACCTCAAGAGCAGTTTAAGGATTTAGAGGATCAGTCTCCGAAACATTTTGAGGAGTTCCTTAAGGGTCAACTTGAAGACTTCCCTACAGATCAACCTGAAGACTTCCCTTCGGATCAACTTGAAGACTTCCCTACGGATCAATTTGGAGACTTAATTAAGGATCAGCCTGATGACATCATTAAGGATCAGCCTGAAGACATAATTCAGGATCAGCCCAAAGACATAATTCAGGATCAACCTGAAGACATAATTCAGGATCAGCCTGACGACATAATTCAGGATCAACCTGACGACATAATTCAGGATCAGCCTGAAGACATAATTCAGGATCAGCCTGAAGACAAAATTAAGGATCAGCCTGAAGACAAAATTAAGGATCAGCCTGAAGACATAATTAAGGATCAGCCTGAAGACTTGATTAAGGATCAGTCAGAAGACTTGATTAAGGATCAGTCAGAAGACTTGATTAAGGATCAGTCAGAAGACTTGATTAAGGATCAGCCAGAAGACTTGATTAAGGATCAGCCAGAAGACTTGATTAAGGATCAGCCAGAAGACTTGATTAAGGATCAGCCTGAAGACTTGATTAAGGATCAGCCTGAAGACTTAATTAAGGATCAGCCTGAAGACTTCATTAAGGATCAGCCTGAAGACTTCATTAAGGATCAGCCTGAAGACTTCATTAAGGATCAACCTGAAGACCAGCTGAAAGAACTTGACAGCAGTTATCTAGAAGAGTTGAGTCACAGTCAATTGGTTGATAATTTCCAGTTCCAACCCATGGAACAGTCTTCACCAATGGAGGCTGATCAGCCACCTGTCATGGATAGTACCCCAGATATCCTTCAGAAAAGTATGGAGAGACCTCAAGGTTTTGAGATTGGTTCAGAGAAAATGCTAAATATGATGGAAACCTCGATGGACAAATTTCCTGATATGATGAACATGGATCCTTCCAGTCCCCATGGTTCTGTTAGTCCACGTGTTCCTGGCAGTCCCAGGTCTGTGGAAGGTTTTGTCACATCTGTGGAACTAAATACCCCCGAAGAAAACTTTGGCACAAACTTTGCTATTAATCAGACACAAGACTTGCTTGCTGGTCCAGTGGACCAGCCATCTGGTCCATTTAGTGTGTATGTAAGCTCCTCCCCAGAGCCAGCTAGCTTGGACCCATCTCTTCAGGCATCCATTGATCTTGTTAATGTAACCGGTGCAGTGACTAATGGTCAGCTTGAAGAAGAAATTAAAGTATCTCAGCCAGAGGATATCTCTCCAGTAGAAATAGTTCATGCACAGTCCACAGTTGAGGTAGTTGCACCTCCATCTCCCATTGATAACAAGGAACCAGAGATGCAGTTTACCATTTCTGACCACATCTCGGATATACCTACTTCACAGATGGACACAGATTACACTCAGTCTTCAGAAATTACATTTGTTCCTGAACCAGCTGTTGAACCTGTAGCAGAGGTGCCAGTTCCTGTTTACATAGAGGGAAATACCCCTGTTTCCGAGACTGAAATGGAGGTTAACTTCGATTACTCGACAGTGAAACCCAAGGCAGATGAATTGATTTCCATGAAGGATGAAATTCATGAACCAGCAGTATCAGTCACAAAGTTAGATACTGTCTCTGCTGCTACAGATCAAACTTCAGCTCCTGCAGAGTTCATCCAGTCTCCTGCAGAGTTTGCCCCGTCTCCCTCGGAGTTTGCCCCATCTCCCTCAGAGTTTGCCCCATCTCCCTCAGAGTTTGCCCAGGCTCCTCCCGAGTTCACGCCAGCCATCATTGACTTGGATATAGAAAATAAATCTTGGGATCTTGTTTCTGTCGAAAAAGAGTCAATTTCCCAGGTTAATGAGAATATGAATGGCTCCAAAGTATCTGCAGTTGATACAGAAGTCATCAACACTGCAGTTACTGATCTGATTTCTGTAGATTCAGAGATATCAACAGTGCCAGAGGTGGCCAAATCCACTACAAAAACTGACACAAAATCTGTTAAAAGTACCCCAGGCAAGACCTCTGTTAAAGCTACTCCTGGAAAGTCCACTCCTACTCGAGCAACACCTGGTAAATCTACTCCAACAAGGACACCATCTGCGAAGACTCCAGCAACTAAGGCTACAGAAAAGAAATCTCCAACCACAAAACTAACTCCAAAAGCTGCACCAGGCAGAACTTCAATTGAGAAAAGTAATACTGCTAAACCTGCTTCTCCTAAGCCTGCAGCAACAAGGTCTTTGACAGCAAAACCTACTGCAGCAAAGACTACTACAGCAAGACCCACTGCAACAAAACCATCTGCACCAAAATCAGCTGCAACAAAGCCTTCTGCACCAAAACCTCCCACAGCAAAGCCTACACCGAGGTCCACCACATCAAAGCCTTTGGCTTCGGCATCAACACCCACAAAGACCACAGAAAAGAATTCTCCCAAACCTGCAACCTCGACAGTGCCAAGAGCTTCATTAAGCAAACCAAGTGCAGCTCCAAGTAAGCCTGCAGCAGCACGTCCCACTCCAGCTGCAACAAGAAGGCCAGTTACTGCTCCTACCAAAACTACAGACAAAGTTGACAGTAGCAAAGAAGTTAATGGCACTGTCAGAAAAACTGCGCCTCGGCCTTCGACCACCTCGCGTACAACCACATCTACCACATCACGCAGGTTAACGACTTCAGCAACTAAGACAGCTGCAGAGAAGGAGACCAAAAACACCACAAACCGCATTCTTTCCACCTCCACTAAATCAGCATCAGGAACAACTCGGTCCACTGTAAGCAAAACTTCATCTTCAGCAGCACGCTCAATTACTGATGCCAAGTCTAGAGTTAATGGAACTTCCACCACCACGAAGGCTAGAACAACCACAACTACCAAATCGGCTGCAGCTAAAACTACTGGTAAGATAATTATATAATGTATTGCTGTTCAGTATTGGTGTTTTTTAACTAATGTAGTGGGTAAATTGATGAGAGCACTGCATCAGCAGGTTGACACCCTAGGGTTCCCAGAACTGCAAGCTGTGATATGGATCATATTCCACAAATCCAGTAAAAACCTGAAAACCAAGTATCTTCCAACTCGACCATGGCCCTGTGAAAAAAAGGGTAGCAATGAGGAGTTGGTTGTCAGTCTGTGATCGATGTGCTGTTACCTTCTACATTAATGTACATTATCCTCCTCGATCAGAACGGGTTAAAAATTAGAAATGACCGAGCTACTTTTTTTTTTACTCATTTACATGCACACAATCCTACCTACATATGTGCAAAAAATAAGTAAAAGAAATACTTATCAATGTTAAAAACATAGGGAATAAACATTTCTTTGAGTGGGAGAGGGAGCCAGACTTGTTGCTATAGCGATGCTTAAGCGTGGCCTTGCTTGAAGCAGCCAGCATGTATGCAGTTGGCACTGCTGGTGGCTGTGTTAAACTTTGTTTTAGCTCTTCCTTGATAATTTTAGTTGCATAAACTCAAGATAGTATTTTTTATTTTTTTTTAATGTCCGTAAATTAGTCCTGTACAGTAGATGTGATTTTTGTTGTTGTTGTGGTGTGTGTGTGTGTGTGTATATAAACTGACTACATGTTTTGGGGATATTTTTGTCATTGTGAAACAACCCTATTTTCCCATAAGTTACACAAGTTATTCTATTTGGGGTAGGAAAATTCACCTAATTAGTGTGTGTGAGAGTGAGTGAGTGAGTGAAAGAGCTGGGGCTCCACTATTAACAAGTGGTTTTCATACATGTGTACAGTCATGGATAAAAGTTCTCTCCCAGTGGTGAACTTGAATCATGGGAACGCATCTCCTAACTTAAATACCTTGTGTTTCGTCTGGTATGGCTATGCTGTTTTATCTGCTGCTTCATTTTGGGAAGGAGCAAACCCTTTGAACCCAACTGTACGTTTCCAGTGACCCCTGAACTGTAGGCTCCATATATAGCATGCATGGAAATAAGGCTAAGCCTCTGGCTTAAAAGCCATTGGAATGTCACGAAACCAAAGCAGTCTGAAAAGCATGGCTTGCTGAAGCTGACTTCAGCCTCATGCCTGGTATATACAGTAGTGTTCTGTATTTGCACTTTCCTAAATGAGCTGTCAGGTTTGAGACCCACTTTTCACCTAAAATGGTATTTTAATTTTCATAAATCGGAATTAAGCAAAAACTTGTATTTTTACAGGCGTTGCAGCAAAGAAGACAATGGTAAGCAAAACTAAAACTGCAACCACTGGAGGAAAGATAAGTGCAGTTAAAGCAGATAAAACAGAAGTGATAGACACCATTCAACCTGTAGTCAATGGAGAAAACAAGATTGCTGATGAGGAAACCAGTGTAGAGGTGATTGAAAAATGTGTGGTAGAGGACATAATGCAAGCCTCAACAGAGAAGGTCTTTACAGAAAGTTCACTCACCATGACTTCATCTGAACAGGTGGTGGCGACTGCATCTACAGAAACAACTGAAGTGATAGTCAATGGAGATCACTGAGTCGGTGGTTACCAAAAAAAAAATGCATAGACTCTTAAAATGTTATTTTTTGTGTTACTACTTTTAACATTTGCATTTTCAGTCTTAGGGTCCAAGAGTGTCCAATTTTACCTAGTTGAAGTTGTACTAGTCTGATTTTTCCAGTGACAATGAATAGTCAGGCTCACGGTGGAAAAGCATGGATATATTTGGATCCTAGCTTGTGTATAGTCACCTTATTGCTAATATTAGGAACTGATAATCTTGCTTAACTAATAATTGTACAGAACTTGATTACAAAAGATGGTAAGGATCGTCTCATAAACTGACTGAGCAACATTAATATGTTTTTAATGTTCACCTTGGTAAAGGGGAGGATTCTTTTTATTTTATTATTATTATTATTATGTGAATATTATTGTCATTGGATTACAATATAAAAGAATAGAGGAAATTTATTTAAAACTACAACCACTAATTATTTGCAACTGATTTATATACATTATATTTGAGCTTATTTGCTGCAATGTTGATATTTGGCAATCACTGAACCACTGTACAGTGTAATCTTTCTTCAGATTTTACTCTTAAAATTTATATTGCACATATCAAATATATTTTAATACTCTAGGTCAAAGTTTTAAATGCAATTTAAATTTGTGCAATAAACAACCCACTTGAAATTGTTAGTTTTGATATGATGCTGTTAAAAGGTTTTTAGCTTTTAATTGCTTATCTGCTCTAGCTATATATACAGATATCATTGATATGGGGTTTTTGTTAATGCAATCTAGATAATACTGTGTACTCGTTTCTCAGGTAGTTACTGGGTATAATTTGGTCATTACTTAATCAGGCAATATTAGTTAACTAATAATCTTCCTCTTGTTCTGATTTGTGAAATGTAATTGCACATCAAAATCAACTTTAGGGTGTTAAAAGAGTGAAATATATTTTATTTTATTACTTTGTCAAATCCTCCCCTAAAGGTTGCCAAAAGACTATCGAAAATTAATTTGGTTGGTAGAAAGAGGATTCAGTGATTTATTCTGCCTATATGCATTGATGTCCTTAATACAGTGTTTAGGTAAGATGCAATTTAAGCAAGTTTTCAGATTATTGTATAGGATTATAACTGGATAGTATGGTAAAGTTTTGCAGAAGGAAATAGAGCTTTAAGTTGAAAGTAATAAAATTTGTAAATAGCTGGCAGAATATTCCCGAGGTGCTAGTTCTCCTGTGTTGCATTCCGGTATTTCCACTGCTTATGAACTTTTGTACTTGGATCCCCCACCCACCCAGGCTTGTAGTTACAAGTCCTATAAAGGCACCCATTTTATATATATATTTATATATATATAATCTTAAATACCCAGTGTGAAGCTTTGTGACTGGTTGGGAAAATGGATGTGATCAGTGTGGACAAAAGGCATCAAAAACGTTGCTGCAGACATTAAAAAGTGCCTTTTTCCAAAACTTCTCCATTCCATATTATTGCTGGAAGATGACCAGGAATTTCTTGAGTCATGAATTTATCGACCCCAGGCATTATTTATTTATTTAATTTTCTCAAACTTTTTTAAACATATTTTTATTAAAACTGATTCAAATGAAAAGTTTCTAATTAGGTATAGTCTCTGCATTGCCCAATAAGAGGATTGTATATTTTGTTGGTTTGCTTCATGTCATATTAAATGATGTCATTGGTTTCGCACAAGCCTCTGTAAAGTGTATTGATTATTGTATTCAAATAAAGGCAAATCTCTCCATTAGTCCTTTTATTTTTATTATTTTTTTATCCCTCTGGACATTTATAGGTATGTGGGACAGTTGTGTTGTTCATCTTTTTTATAGATAAGTTTTTGTTTCAACAATAACGAGTTCTACTTTAGAACTTTTGGTAAAACTGAATACACTGCATGGCCTTGAAATTTCAGTATCAGATTCAACTGTGCTCTCACGGCTCCCCAAACAGGCTTGCATTATTGTCATCCTTGTTCAACGATTCCCAACGGGATGAATGTATTTTCTTGCAGTTTTTGCTGTCCCACTTGAACGATTCCCACATTTGTATTACAATATTTTCATGCCATACCTGTATTTGTACAGTACAGTACTACAATATGTACTCAAAATTAATATTTCCATCTGAAGCACATCTAATAAACTACCACCACCTAATACTGCTACTACAGCCAATTACTACTACTACTGTATTATTATTACTGCCACCTACTACTATTATTACTGCCACCTACAACTACTACCTACTACTGCTACTACAACCACCTACTACTAATATTACAGCCACCTATTACTTTTTTCCATTTTTAATGTGGCCTTCAGCCTCCCTCAACAGCCACACCTTTGCTGCCATTTTATTATCTTAAAATTAAATATCTTAATACATAAGCAGCTCTCCTAGATGTGTTGAGTTAGTTGAGCCGCAGATCTATGCGGCATTCAGTGACTTGCCTCGTCGTCAATATCTGCAACTGTTGTTGGCTTTGGGGTCGATGCTCTCGTTCCCCTGGGGCAGAGTAAAGCAGACCTAAAGAGAGAGAGAGGACAGTCGACATCTCATCCAGGCTGTAACATAACTTCTGGGCTGCTGCTACTGTTCGGATAGCACCTCCGCGAGTCTGGCGTAGAAGCATCTTGCACTTGGTCCCATCCCACCAGAGGTTGTAAACACTAGAGGAGTGAAGCTGCCTTGATCAACGTTCTGAATTCTCTCCCCGTATGCCCATATCTTGTCGTTCTCGTTCCTCCTGTGTGCAGCATCGAAAGCTAAGTTATGGTGACATGCGGCCATGGAATAAAAAATTCTGATGTCGAAGAAGGCTTGCAGTCCCTGCGTCCAGAATCCTCGAGCACTGACGTCAACACGGGATTCGTTGGATGTGTGTGAAGTCCTATGTTGGAAGATTTTGCCGTCCAATGGAAGGAGGGTTGGTTCTACCATGACATCACGGCATATTTGCTGTGAGATCCCTTACTTCATCATGCCTATGAAGCCCCCTTTCTTGCACACCATGGCGTGATCGACGTCATAGGAAGAGCCACACGCATTGGAAGGGCAAGCCTTCCACTGGCCTACCGTACCAGAGCAGGGGTGTCAAACTTACGGCCCGTGGGCCAAATGTGGCCCTTAGGATGGTCAGGTGTGGCATGCGGGATGACTGTAAAATTTATCATCCTGTAAAATTGTGAAAAAAATGTTCATTTAGTAAAACGAATTTTACATACTTAAGATCAGACAAACCCAAATGAGGTATACCTGGTAAGCCAGGTAAGGCAATGTGTGAAGCTGTAAACTTCAATCCTGCAAATATGTGATATAGCTCTTATGTTGGCCATGAAGAGGGTAACTAAAATACGAATTGGCCCTCGAAAGCTTTTGAGTTTGACAACACTGGTGTAAAGACTTGCATTTTTGGTGGTTTTGGGCCAAAAATTAGATTTTGCTGAAAATCACAGTGTAATTAATGGCCAAAATAACCCTTGAAAGATTTTACTGACATTTTTCAATGCTAATTACTCATCAACTATGGGTTTCCAAGGTGTGATTTAGGGTTTGTGTTATTCTGAAGTACTTAATTAGTTAAACACCTTAAATTTCAATTCTTGAGAAAAAAGTATATTTTGGTCAAAAATATTGCAAGGTGTAACTGACATAACCCAGAAACTCAGTATCCTTAGTGAGGGATACTTAGGGAGACAGTTACTAAGTGGAATGGTGCTAAATAGTATGGGAGTAAACATAGCAAAAACAAAAGTGATGATTAATGACATTGGTGAAGGACCCTTGGTGAAAAGTGGACAATAGTAATGTTCTGTCTGTGAGATGGTGTTGGCAGTAATTCAGTATTGTGCAGCAAATGTGAGGTGTATAACTATCCAACATACTATCACGAGTTAAATTCAATGTTAGTAATCTGATATGTTTCAAGTCTTTTTGTGGTAAGGTAAGATTTAACAACTACCTTTAACTGAAATCATAGTTTTCGGCTGATTTACTGAAATCACGCAATAGTTGTCCTAAGGCAATTGGCATTTTCTGTCACGAATTTAAAGCGGCGCACCGAAAATGATACCAAGATTGGAAAATCGATGATTGGTAGACACTCTTAGAGTGAGGCAAGGCTGGCGGATCCTCAATTAAATTTGTTATCATTTTGGATAGTAGGTAGTAGGTAGTAGGCAGCTACCAAACAGGGAGGTACTACCGCCTGGGAAGATATTGGAAGCATAATGTGTTGTCTAGCGGTAGATCCTGCTGCCATATGGCATCACAAAAATTGTGACCAAGTCCCAGGTTGCTGATCTGACTTTCTGCTTCATTTGCACGCAATTGCAGGGTCTCAATTGTTTCTCTTACCATAGACAACACAACATACATATATCGTTTCTCACTTTTGATCTTTTACTTCATTTCTGTAGTTATAGTTCTTTATTATTAATATTATTATTACAGTTACTGTATTATTATCATCATTATTTTATTATTTTATTTTTGTTTGTTTTATCATAAATTTTATTTATTATGAATTATTATGGCTATTATTTACTATTATTATTATTATTATTATTATTATTATTATTATTATTATTACATTTTCGCCCCACCAGGCCCCGATGTGGGTCAGTGACCTGTGCCCGGGTGGGTTAATCCCCGTAAAAAATAAAATAAAATAAAAAATATATGCCTCATCACCCTGGCCCCCCCTTAGACCTCCTGTCCTCAGTGGTTTCTAGAATTTATATATTGAAATTCATAAAGAAAAAAAAATTCATGTCATGATTTTTGCGTGTATGCTTGTGTGGTATCCATGATTTCCCAAATGATGCAGTTGCAGTTATTGGGTTAAAATAAAAATTCAATGAAGGCATTAAGCTGCTTCTGAGATAATATGATTCTACAGAGAAACTACACAAGATGCTTAGTCATTTCATAATACTTACCCAACTTGAGCAAAGACGGCTCCAAGCAACTCTGTCCGTTGGTTCATACAGGCTCCCACAAGCAGTCCACCGTTTGAGCCACCCTGAATGATGAGTCCGTTACTGGATGTGTATCTCACTGATTAAGAACTGCTGCTGCTTGGAAATCATCAAATACATTCTGCTTGTTGAGTAACCGTCCAGCATTATGCCAAGCCTCTCCATACTCACTAGAAAGTAAGAATGTGTAACTTAAGAGCTAAAGAATTACAACACTTATGTGAATATACAGTTGAGCAGATCGATCAAAATTCAACAAGAGTTTGCAAAATAACAATTGCCATATCCTCCCTCCACTGTAGTGAAGTCAAATGGGCCTAAAGTCTGGAAAAAAACATGAACATTGAACAATATTAATTACTAGCTGGGTAACCCTGTGCTGCCTGGTTTGTTTTTGCGGATCAACAACATTCCAGTTAAGCCTCGCCACTTGTACACAATATGAATATGGGAACTTAACCTAAGTCTCTAAATGACCGTGAAATATTGAGAAATTGTCTCGCGAGTGACTTTCTTATATCATAACTATCAGAAAATTGGTTCCCATGGATAAGTAATACAGACAGACAAAGTTACTATACCTATTAATTTAAAAATCAAATTACAAAGAAAAAATATAAACCAATTACGATGAATTCATGTTCCATACTGCCACCATTATGGTCGTAATATATATCAAGGAATAAAATACATTCCCTCCAGCTACAACGTAAACACTCTCCCTCCACCTCTGATGTTTGGAACAACAATGAGACCTTCAAACATCTGTGAATATGACTCTGGAGATGCTAAAATAAGCCACCATAACCATAGAGCAAGGTAGGAGCCATTCCATGAAGCTTCAGGCCATTCGAGTGCACTACGAACACCGAGACCTTTGTACCGTTTGTGCTCGAGAAAAACACCTGCCGCATCTCAAAATTGTGCTTAAAAATTTTCAAAATTTTGCCCAAAAATTGTCTGAATTTTGCCTGAACCTAAAGGAGGCTGGACGGACAACTTGAATAATAATAATAATAATAATAATAAATGATAATATAGTACTGATAATAATGGTGAAGGAGTGTGTTTTTAACAGTGCGAGAGAGGAAGCAGGCAGACAATAACATCCTAGACCCCAGGAAGGCAGCTAAGTGGTGTCCAACTCACACTTATCCTCATCTCCAGGGCGCCCTTCTTACTTCATCTCCCTATCTCCCCGTCCATCCTTAATCAGCGTGTCGAGGACGCCTGTACTGAGATTTTGAGCATATTTAACCTTTTCTATCCCAAGTTTTAGAAATCCTTGAATTTTTTGTGGGTCGAAAAATTAACATTGTTCAAAATCTCGGTATCGGTCGTCCTCGACACGTTGATTAACGATCTGTGGTCGAAATGTTGAAATTTTTATAATTAATTGTTTTAAGGGTACCCCAGATTATGAAGTTTTGATAATTAATTATGCTAATTGATATGAGGAACACTTAAGGATCCTTAATTACCATGCAAAGTACTGTAGTACCTTTGTATGAAATTTAAACAAAATCTATTTTTTTTACCCCGTGCCGAAAATTAATGTCTGGCGTATTTTTTACGTAAATCAATATTTTGGGGGGAAATTGAAAACTAACGTATTTATATTGTAAAGATAGTCTATATTTTTAAGAAAATATACACAAAGGGGATTTAAAACTTATGCACAGCGAAATTGACTCTTCTTGACAACCCTGCATGTGGGTTGTCAAGGAAGACAAGGTTGCCACTGTGCGCAACGCCTGTAGTTAGA